CACCCACAGTAAGCTCAAGGGCCCCATACACTTGGGAAAGTGTGAAAGCGTTAAAGAGTCAAAACATGGGGACATGTGCAAGTATTGCAGGGATGTACTGAAAAATAAGATTTTTATACTTCCCGTAAAATATTTTTCTTGAATTCCATTAAGGGACACGGAATTATAGTTATTCTTGTACACGTGGCTTATACTGCCACTTACAGAAGGCTTGGCAAAACAAAAAATGTTAAGCCTGCCCCTGAATAGCCCTGCTCCAACCATCGTGCCTCAGTTTTGTGAGCAAGAGGTATATGAGGCTAATAACACAGAAAGATGAGACCTGTGTCCCTCAATGGACATCAAGACAGTAAGTACAAAAAATATATTTTCTATTATCACCCATTGAGGGACATTGGATTCTAGTTACTCTTGGACATGTGGGACATCCAAAAGCATTTCAGCTGAGGGGCGGGCAAAGCCAATAAGAAAAGCAGTAGATGAGGAATTTTACTAGAATGCCTTAAAAAGGGCTTGATGGACTGTAATGTACTAAAATGGAAAAGGACATTGCAAAGGAAATGACACCAAGGATCAGCCTGACATTCTAAATCAGGGTAAATAATCTCAAAACAGGAAATTGGTACCTGAATGAATTCAGTAGGCAGAGACCACTTGTCAAACAAATTCCCTTGGAATGGGAAAACGCTCTTCCACATTGTCAGTAAGGAGCCAGGACTCCATGGGCTGTATCCAGTTTTACAAACAGAATGTAATGGAAAGGTCTTTGTAGTCAGTGCGCTATAAGACCCAATGCATGGAGCACTAGGCTGATCCCCTTACGTGTAGAGTAAAATGCACTGCATCAGAGGATAAATATTTTCTGTAAAGCTGAGTCATATGGGACTTGCTGAAAAACAGGTTCTTCAGGAGAAGGCTGTGAGGGCTCTGAATCAGAGATAGTAGTAGGAACGTATTCAACGAGATAGAACAGATTTCTCCATTGATGCCTACGAGCGTTGATGGACGAATCCCCTGTTTGCCCAAACAGAGCAAGCAGCTGATTGGCTAATAGCTCTGTTCCAACCGGCTTTTTCAATCAGCTGATCAAGGGATGCCGGGCGGAGGGGTCCCGGCAGCAACAGTATGAATTTCAGCCAGTTCATCAGGAACTGGCCAAAATTCGAACCATGTGTATCTGACTTTAGCCCCACAAGTACAGCACAAGGTAACTGAAGGAAAGAGAGAGGAACAGGATTCAAAACCCATGTTTGTAATTTTCACTTAACTAAATGTCAGACTTACAAGTCTCACTCTGCTTATTAGGGATGCACCGATACTGAGCATTTGGGCGACTACTCATACTCGCCCAAATGCTCCAATACTCACCCCCGATACCGGAACTTCGGTCAAAGGGAGATCTCAGTCTGACCGGCAGTGCCGAGGGACCATGGAGCCAGCTGCATTTCCAATCAGGAAGCCGGGCGGTGGCTTATGACTCGCCTCCCGGCTTCCTGATTGGCTAGGAAGCTGGCTTCACGTGTTGCTAAGCAGCCTGGCTTCCCAAACAATCAGGAAGGAGGGCGGCACGTGATGACCCGTCTCCCAGCTTCCTGATTGGTCAGGAAGCCAGGCTGCCTAGGAACAAGTGAAGCAGGCTTCCTAGCCAATCAGGGAGGCGAGTCATGATGTGCGCCCTGCTTCCTGATCGGCTATGAAGCCAGCTTCACTTGTTGTTAGGCAGCCTGGCTTCCTAACCAATCAGGATGCCAGGGGGTACGTCATGACTCTCATCCTGGCTTCCTTATTGACCAGAAAGCCAGGCTGTCTAGAAACAAGTGAAGTCGGCTTCCTAGCCAATCAGGACCGGGAGGCAGGTCATGTGGTGCCGCCCGGCTTCCTGATTGGCTAGGAAGCTGGCTTCATTTGTTGCTAGGCAGTCTGGCTTCCTGACCAATCAGGAAGCCAGGATGGCACCTCATGACTTGCCACCCAGCTTCCTGATTGGTCAGGAAGCCGGGCAGCCTCTGAAGCCGGTGTTCTTTCACTAGAACGCTGGCTTCACAGGCAATCAGGAAGCCGGGCGACGGCGACAGGTCATGATCCTCCGCCCAACTTCCTCATAACCAGGGGCACACAGCACAGGTACTCAGTATCGGTGAGTATCGAATAAAAAAATATCGGTACTGAAAAACCGGTATGGTGCATCCCTACTGCATATTATATTATTATGTTATAAAATCTCTGTTACTGTTCTGTGGACATTCTCCTTTAATGCCCCAGTACTTGTTCTTTTTCATTTCTCCTTTTTGTTTCTCCTTTTTGGAGTTGCAATCAGGAACCTTGCTTTCGGTGTCTTTTGGGGTAGACAGCAATTAGGGTCCATTAACATGACTGTAACCACTTTTATTGCTATTCCATAATCAGATGAACCTAGGCAAAACGTTCTGCACCCAAAACAACTTAACCACTTGAGTCCCAGGTGTAATTTTAAAATGCCATTAATCCTATAGGTTTCTGCAGGTCCCGACAGCTTTGAAATTGCCGTCTGAGCTTGGCTTCGTTTGTTTTCCTGTAAAGATAGGATTTCCCTCGTTTGCCACTAGATGGTGCTGTGCATTAAGAAAGAATATGATCTGCAAAATGAATAATGGAGGAAGGAACATGTTCTATAGGTGGTTGCATCTGGAATTTATATAACCTCCACAGACAGAAGCCAGAGTCATTAACCATCAACTAATTATTCTAGTTGTTCTCTTGCAGGAGAAATGAATTTGCATTTTGAGGACTTGGGCATGTGCCTCAGCAAGTTAACATAATTTCCTGCAATATATTTACACATCTATATCATCTATATCTATATTATAGTAATAAATATACCTGTATATACAAATCCTGCCCCAACTTCAACTGTTTGGGACATTGCCACCTTTGGGTGGAAGCCAGGTCCTGGTCTGGTCTGGTCTGGCACTGGAGCAGAGGAAGCAGTGAAGGCAGTGCTGAGAGGGAAAGAGGAAAGTAAAATGCTGATCACTAGACATGTGCACTGCCAAAAAATTTGTTTCGTTTTAAATTCGGATTTGTGTTATTTCGTTTTTCGGGATTCGGGTGTGAAAGTCAATTCGGATTCGGAATTCGGATTCAGACGAAATTCGGTACCGGTAGTTTGAACGTTTGTTTCATTTTCGGTTCTTATTCGGTTCGTTCGTTCGTTTGCAGCAAAGTGACATTTGAGGGTGGAAAAATGTTTTTCACCTTCTCTAATGTCACTTTGCTCCAACGAACGAAACGAATAAGAACCAAAAACGAAACAAACGTTTGAACTACCGCTACCGAATTTCGGAAATGGTAATTCGGATTCGTTTGCATTCGTTATGTCTGTAATTCGGAATTCGGATACATCCGAATGTCTGAATTTCCGAAAATTCGTCCGAGATTCGATTCGGAACGAAACGAATCGCACATGTCTACTGATCACTTACACTATGCACCAACACTATCAATGCTGTACACCTACACTATCCAGACTGTGCACCCATACAGACACCCAGGCACTGAGGGTTTTCTGTTGGGAGGGCAAAGAGGGGCTAGCCATTTAAGAATAGAGGTGGGGGGTCTATTACTCCAAATTTTTAATAAAAAAATTAAAATCCCTAAAACTGATTCACCGACGTAATCCAAGGGTCAATCACGATGTCCAGCCACGGCTCATCAAAATAAAAAAACCTGTCGACCCATCCGCACCGAACGAACTGCCGCCGCAGAATGAAAGTCTAACTGGTGCCGGTACAATGTCACCAACTAGGTGGAGATAGCGGAGTCATCACCGCACAGCCCACTGTCCTCAAATGACCTGAGGACAGTGGGCTGTCACTGAATGAGAACAAATGGGCGGAGCGAGTGGCTGCCTGCCAGGCCTGTTCTCGGATTAAGGGTCTGGCATGACTTCTAGGGGGGAACCCCAAGCACTTTTTTTTAACTTGGGGTCCCTCCTAACTTTTCTACAAAACCTCTGGAAGGATTTGGGAGAGGGACCCCACACAGTTTTTTTTTAACCTATGAGAATAGGGGCGAACAGCAGCAAATTAACTGCCAGTGGTTCAGCTTAGCCAATCCAGATGTTAGATCAGCTGAGTCGAACATGTTCTTCACTTCGGCTCAGCCGAACATGCTGAGCAAGTAAAGTAAATGTACAGGCCTTTCCTTTCCCA